AACCCATTCCTGTCTTTAGGATAAAAAAAAAAAAAAAAGCCTGTCATACGCCAGAAACTGGCTGGAGCCTGGAGCTTGGCACTGCAGACAGAGTTAACAGTTTGTAGGCTTTGAAGTGAAGGTTTTTCCCCCTCTTTTACTAGCAATGAAAAGAACGTTAAAGGAAAAGCACCAAAGTTGATGAGGACTATTTTTCCATGGTGAACGATGTAATGTCTTTCGGTATAATTCTCTATGTAGAAAGCGAGTTACCTTAAAGCAGCTACACTGGCAATACCTGCCGAGTCTTACATAACCACTGCCCGGGAGACATACATCATCTGCGATACTTTAAATATACCATCTTCTCCTGGAACACCCTGCGTGACTCAAACACTGTGAGGTCTCCCTCACAGTTTTAGGGGTTTTGGAGCAGTGGTTCTCAAACGTTTAGGGAGGAATAGCTTGCAGGTTTATTAAAATTCAGAGGCTGTGGCTATGCACCCCGGGACTGTGGTTCTGTGTGTGTGTGTGTGTGTGTGTGTGTGTGTTACAAGAATATATTTTCTGGGTGGGGAGGAGGTTGTTTTTTAACAAGTAACCCAGATGATTCAGATGCAGGTGGTCCCTGGACTTTACTGAGAAATATCACATCTAGAACCTATAAAATGTTAAAATTCTTTGGCCTAAAAGAATTAGGAGTTGAAGTCACACTATTTCTATTTATAAAGGTTAAAAAATAATTGGTTACTCCAGGAAAAAGAGCAGGTGTGTTTTCCATTTCCCTCGGGTTTTCTTCTTATATCTGTACCACATTCCTCTGAGATAATGAGGGTGCGTAATATTATTCTGACTTTGCCGATAAGGAAATTAACATAGGCTAAGTGATTCACCAAAGGTGACAGAGCTAGTTGGGGCAGGTCTCTTTGGCCTTTTACACAGACATCAAATGAGATGGCATCCCCTCAGATACTCCCCAAATCAAGAAGTCTTGAGAAACACGTGAAGAAAATGAAAGGACATTTCCTGATCCGGTTTTAGATAAAGTTTTCCTCATCTCTCTAATTGAAAGCTCTCCTTCAGCAGACAACTCTGAGCTAAATAACGTTTGTAGTTTTCCACCTTCAAGCACTGGCTTTGGGGACCCATTATGGAGATTCTTGTAACCCATGGTTATGCTACTGGGAGAAAGAAAAACAGATGGTCCCCTATGGAAAAACATCAGCACATATTTTCCCTGGTAGGGGACTTGGGCTTTAACCAGGATAGACACAACTTGAGTTTTTAATTCGCTTTAGATCTAGCTTGGTCCTAGAAAAATGGAAAAATAAAGTGTCCCTTAAAATCCCACAAATGTTGCGTATTTTCAGGAGGGACTCCACAGATGACTTGTTTGATTTCAGAAACTTCCACGGGGACATCCTGGCTCACTGTCTGGTTGGGTTTTGTGTATCATATCATGAGGTGCTGGAGGGAAGATAAAGATCCTTTGACAGTGGAAAATCACTCTCATCTAGAGCCTTCTCCTCCTTTGCCCTCGAGGGAAAACCTGCCTTCTCCCTCATGAGAAAAACTCCAGATATAATGGATGAGACAAAGAAATATTTAACCAAATCCATTAGGAAACCCCAGCAGAAACAATGCATCTTTTCAACAGTTTAAGATGTTATGCATAGACAGAATGTTTTGTGTGGGGCATCTGTCTCAGGCTCCCAAGTGAGAAATGCCGTTTGCCATTAGACACTAGTTTAATTCCAAAGCTCAAAAGAACCATGTTCATTTGCCAAAATCCTACTGCTCTGTGAACTACAAAAAATGGTTTATACAAATCACTAGAAACATCCAATAATAATAATAATAAAAACAGTCTTTCCTCAGAGTACCCCTCACTCCTAAGCATTCACCAACTGTTTTAGTTCAGGCTGCTATAACAAAATACCATAGACTGGGTGGCTTGTCAGCCAGAGACATTTATTTCTCACGGTGCTGGAGGCTGGACGTCTGAAATCAGGGTGCCAGCATGGTGGTGAGGACCCTCTTTTGGGTGCAGACAACTAACTTTTCATTGTATTGTCAACAAGGCAGAAAACGAGTGAGCTAGCTCTCCGGCCCCTTCTTATAAGAGCACCCTTCTTATAAGGGCACCAATCCTCTTGATGACCTAATTACTTCCCAAATGCCCTACCTCTAAATACCATCACACTGGGGGTTAGGGCCTCAACATGAGAATCTGGGGTGGGGACACAAACCCTGAGTCCATAAGACCAACCTAGAACCAAAGGGATGACCATGGCTTGGGCATATTCTCAGTAGTAGCCCCAAGGAGCCTTGTTCCTGCCTGTACCTGAGCCCAGCTCCCGTCTTTCTTCACGATAGCCTGTAATTCCTTCTGAGGCAGCAAGAAGTCTTTGGGAGACCTCCGGCTGGTTTTGGCCACTCTCCACGTAAGGGCTTCTTCAAAAGTGTTCAAAGAATGAACAAACTGCTGGGCAGCAGACACCAGGTGAAAGACTGTTAGGTTGGCTCTGACATTGTTTTCTGATACCCTGTCCCCACTAAGAGGTCTCCCCTGGAGGAAGACTAGTGATCACAAACAGCTCCTCACACACAGACAGCAGAATAACCACTCGGAAGTCCTGTGCATGAAAAGCACATATTAACCATCTCATTCAACGTCTCATGAGAACCTCAGCCTCAGCCAGCTATGTTTGATTTCAAAACAACATCATTTGCCTCATGCAAACCAACCAACCAACAAAAAAGCGAGAAAGACAGGGAATACGTAAAAAATTTTAAAAAATTTATACCAAAGTGATTTGTGATTTGATATTACGATTTCTTTGCTTTGGGATGGTAGGAATACCTCGTTAAATGTGTTTGAAAAGTCCCCAATGACAGAGATTTCACCATTAGGCCGAGCCCTCACACCACACAGACCAGCATCCAACTTGGATACTGACTATGTGGCATGTTGGTAGTGTCTGCCCGGCAGATGTGGTCTCTCTGTCCTTGGAAAGTAACTTGCTGCTTGGAGTGAGTCAGAAACCAGCCTAGCTCGTGTACCTCTGACCTGGAGTTGCTGCTGCAAATGCACACAGAGGGGGCGCACCAGAGCATCTGGTGGAGGGCTTCCAAAAGAATGGGTTTTGTTGGCTGGTCACACATGGACTGATTCCATTCTGCCAGCTTTCTCTCCTCTCACCTAAGAAACTCTCTGCATCCATCGGCTGCTGTCCTGCACCATAAAATCCCCTGAAAGAAACAGTCATGAGGCCATACCTGCTCTTGCCCAGAAGGAAGAGAACATGAAGCAGATATTCTAGGCACCACAACCTTACCAACTGATCATCGTTGTTGTGAATACTTGTCTTGGTTTGTTTTTGGGGGGATGATTCACATTGCTTTAAAATGTAACTGATTTCTTTAAATGCTCCACAATCTTCTTAATTCATTCAATGTGCTGTGATTTCTGCCATCACTTGTGTTTGGAAAAGAAGTACCAAGTGTGTTATGGGTTTGTCCTCAATCCTTACAGACAGTGTAGATGCATTAGGGGACATACACAGCTACTTCTGTAGCACATGTCTGTCCTGCTTAGCACCCGCACTCGAGGAGGTCTGACACACCCTGGGGTATATGTCGGCTACTGATTCACCAAGGGAACAAGGCACACAGTGCTAGCCCTGGGTTATCTCACATGACACAGCTGCTGCCCATGTATTTAGAGTTGGGTAGACCCAGGAGTTTGGGCTTATTTCTGCAGAGGAAGTGAGGCTAAGATAGTAGCCAGATGTGGCATGCACAGGCCTGGCCCTAAAATATGCATTCCGGGGGCAGGAACACCAGTGGAAGCACCTGACCCATAGGCCTTCTCTTCTCATCCTTGGTTCTGTTCTATAGCATGAGCGTCCTCATGCAAATTGGGGTGGCTATATAGATTCTAACATTCAATTGGCCCAAAGTATGTGTCTTGCAACTAGCTGCCTCTTGGGCCAAGGGTATTCACAAAGGCTTGGATCTGGGGAGAGGACCAGGCAGGCCTGGGAAATGGGCTTTTGTGGCTATTGGGGAAGGAAATTCAAGATCCTGGGAACCTAGGGAATGGACTAAAAGTAGGGTTCTGTCTCTGTGTACCATGGGCTTCTCACCCTATGAAGAGGAACAGATCCAGCCAAGGCTGGCCAGCTCAGAGGCTTCCAAAGCACAGAGCCTGGGGCAGCCACTTGCTGGGATCTTAGGGCAGTGCTGGATATGGGCAGACCCCAAAATGGGGGTCTATGGGGTGAGCCTGGAGTGTCTGGGCCTGTGCAGCTTCATCTGTAAACTGAGGTGGTTCAGAACCTGGAATTGTCAAACTCCTCTCCAGACCCAATACTATAGGGTTCTAAGATCCAGCTTGTCATTATTGATGGCTCAGTCTCAAACACTGGATAAAGATAATACAAAGGAAAAGAAAATACTAAACAAATTTAAATGAGTATATAGGTCTTCAATCTCAGCCTCTCTAGTTCAAGAGAACAATGAGATATTCTGGTTAATCAATGATCTGGCTAATGGAGTTGTTAGATTTCTCTTTCACAGGTGACTAATAATCAGAGCATAGTAGTACACTTAACCTCACGATGACCATCCACATCATCACTGGATGGTGAACGACTCAGAAAATCTCCAGTTTTCCAAGGGCCATGAACTACCTGGACATGTCAGGACTGTGTGTAATTAAGACACAATTCATTATGGAAATGTGGACATGCCAGGTAGGCCAGCAGATTTAAGTTGACAATCTCCAATACGTAATAAAATAAAATTAAAAAAAAATTTCAAATGCCATTTCTGTGGACAAGGCAACCTCTTCCAGGTTCTCTGATTTGGTCTGTTTCCCTCCTGATGAATGCTGATGGAAGCAGGCCGCACCAACCTCTCCTGAAGTTCATCAGTGTCATGAGACACAGAGAGCCCACACACGGAAAGCCTCGTTGTCATGAGACAGGGAAAGCCCACTCACAGTTAGGAGCACTGACCTGTCCTTTCATATCTGGAGCAATGGGAATGGTGGGCCAGATGGTTGAGTAGATGCCAAAAAACACCAGCCAGATCAGCATGCTTCCCCAGACAGCCAGATGACTGAACTGCAAAGGAAACACAGACTCAGGTGGGGCTTCTCTGCTGGCAAAGGAGAGCCACCTGAACCCCACCTGCAGCAGAACCCCTGTGTCCAGGCCAGCTTTCTTCATGGAAACGTTTTGACTAGTCATCCGTCATTGGAAAGTGCCGTCTTGTAATTATCTTGTCTCAGAATGTTACACAGTGAATTCAAGGAACTGGTGGCCCCAAACTACCCCGAAGATCAAGGTGCTTTCCCTGCCTCAGCGGACTTTCTCCTAGACCCATTGCACAGTTTTAGCTGGCCCTTGGCTGGTCCTCACCAGTATTTGCTCCAACTTGGAGCTACATAGGCCACTTCACCTTAATCCAGTAAGAAAGCACCAGATGGACAAAAAGAACAAGATGTTCTTACTTATTGTTTTGAGACTTTGATTATTCTTTTCATTTTCCAAAGAATTTTTTACAAATCTGGGTTGGATATTACATCTTAACAATCCTTTAAGCATCTGCTGAGTAGTTAGCCTTTTCTCCTTTGTCTTAATATGATGACCCTTGACTTCTTCCTTACTTCCAGACTCCATGATACAATCCATCATCAAAGTCTGTTAGCTTTTCAAAAATAATACTTCTGGAATCTGACCATTGCTCACTACCTCCCCCTGTAAGAGCCCAGGCCAAGCCTCTTGTCTGGATTAATTACCATTGTCACTTGATGGATTCCCTACTTCCACAAGCATCTCCAACCTCCTCCCCCATTTTCCCAGCACAGAATTAGGAGCCTATTTATACAGCAGGGATAAATAAACACGAAACATGGGTTATGTTCCCGAAATGTGGTACATCACCAAAATGTCTAAAATTGGGGAATGATTAAATGATGGGATATTGATCAAACTTAATACTCTTTAATCATGAACAAAGATTTTGTAGAAGTAAACTTTAAGGTGTGGAAAAAAGGATCACAAAACTATATGCTCTATAATGCATTATCTTATTAAAAATATAAACGTGGAACGTCTGTAATGTTATCCAGAAAAGTGTTAACAGTAACTGTCTCTTGTTCATAAAGTTATGGAAATTAGAAATTCTCCTTTTTGTCTTTCTGTATTTTCTGTGTGCATATACATTTGAAACGAGAGGACTGTTAATAGCTTAGAGCTGTTAGCACGTACCAAGCAAATGAATCATCAGAAAACTTTGGATTTGCAAATTTGCCCTGATAAAGATCAAATGACAATTTTTACATGCAGAATTTAAATAAGATAGCTAGATCCTGCTGACTGGTTTCCCAAAGCTTAAAAAAAGATCCATGCCATCAAAATATCTGTAGTGGATAGTGCAACAGTTCCAGAGAAAACTTACTTTAGTCCATGCTGTGGTCTCCAAACCAGCTTTCAGACACACAGTGACAACAACATACTGTGAAAACAAACAGGAATTGGGGAAAATGTATTATCCTCGGTGACTTATTATTCCTTTCCAGGAGAAATCCCAAGTCTCCCCTCCAGAGGTGGTGGGAGTCACTTTTGTGCTTTTCTTAGCTTGGAGAGATTTGGGGAAAATCACCTGCTTCAGTGCTGCCTTTTTCACAGCTGGATGTGAAACTGTCATTTGAAGAACGGGGTGACCTGGTAATCACCTGTCTAGAAATCTTGACTCTGCAAAATCTCCGTTAGGAAATGAGGTAAGCATTTCACAACCATTTTGAGCTTTAAGGAATCTACACTATAGAGTTGAAAGATTTAAAACAAATCATATGAAGAAAGGCCTTATATAAAGGGCTTCCAGAGGCAGCACCCACACGTATGCCACTTAAGAACAGTTCCGTAAACAGAGAGATAAACTTACCGTGTAAACAATATTTCCAACAAACAAATAGTCTGTGGCCTGGCCACTGGCCAATGCAGTATCTGAAAAACAAAGAAGTTATTACTAACTTCTGGGGAAGAGCACTGCAATCTGTTTTGTTCAGAACATAAAAACAGAACTTTAGAAACATTTATCAAATTGTAAGGGCATTTCAAAAATTGCATCATCTGTGATTCTAATGCCTACTCTTTCTGTGAATTTTTTTCGTCTTATATTTTCTCCAAATGAAGCAAGCAAACAAAATCAGGTTTCTAACAAACTGAACCAAACACTTGATCTGTATTGAAATTTACATTTTTATAAAGATTAAAATCTCCCTTTGTGAGGTTAAACAAAGGGAAGAGTAAGAACATAATAATCTATCTTTATTAAGAGCAGCATTAGACTTTTTATGAGTGTTCTTTTACTATTTATTTTTAATTTTTGCAAATTAGAACTATGGACCAAGAAAGGAAGATAACTACGTGAGTACAAATCAATTCATAATTACTGAACTCAGAGAATCTTGGGGGATATTCACTACTCATGTTCTCATATGCAATTGCATGAACTTCTGAAGTCTATAAATTGGGGGAATGCAAGCAATCCAAAGAGAGACATCTAGACAATACAACTAGGATTGTGAAGCTTTAATTTTCTTATCTTTTCTACTTTTTTCCTTTTTATGGATGACTATTACAATGTATAAAACAATCACTAAGGCTGAAAACTCTAATAGAATTGTCTAACTTCCATCAGCTAGCCTGTTGTGAAAAGTCTGGTTATTATCCTGAGGGGTCAAAGCCTGTTTCAACATCAGGAATGGTTTCTTTGGATGGCACTGCTAATCTCCTTTTATTCCCTTTTATACTCAAATTCAGATCTCTGGCTGACAGACCAAGTATTATAGGGATTTTTGTGTTCAAATTTCCAATCCAGTAGCTGCCATACACACATATTTGGGTTGGCTGATTTACCCATCTGCTTGTTGAGGAATCTGACTTTTATTAAATATTCAAGATCTGTTTAGTTTTCTAAAACACCAAAATGACCAAGTAGCATCATAGGCAGAATCTGGTCATTGTGGGGCCATAGATCCAGCTCCAGGGCGTGGCCTTTCTCCTGATTCTAGATAAGTATATTTGTGGATAGAAGGAAAGAAGAACTACAAAGTGACATTATGGGCTATATTAACTATACACCTAAACTAAGGGACTGCTGCTGGGGAACATAAGAATTATCCTGTGAGAACAGAGAGAGATGGCCACGACTTACAAAGGAATGATCTGGAAATTTAGAGGGGACACTTGAAACTTAGGCAGAATTTCATTAAAAGGAAAGGAAGGAAAAAGTTCAAAACACCTATTCTTCCATTCTTGAGCAATAAATAGGAATGAAACACTGAAACATGCTATAACATGGGTGAACCTTGAAAATCTTGTGCTAAGTGAAAGAAGCCAGTCAAAAAGGCCATCTATTGTAGGATTCTCCTTCTTGAACTGTTCAGAAGAGGCAAATCTACAGAGACAGAAAGTAGACTAGTGATCGTCAGGAGGTGGGCGTTTTTGGGGGGCGGGGAAAGAATGGGAAGTAACTGCTCATAGTTATGGGGTTTCTTTTGGGGGCAATGAAAATGCTCAAACACTGATTAACTGATATAAGGTGATAGTTGCACAATTACATGGTATATACCATAAAATTGTACCCTTTAAATGAGTGGATTTTAGGGTATGTAAATTATGTATTGATAAAGCTGATATAAAAAAAATTCAGTTCCTCAGTCACACTTAGTCACATTTCAAACACTCAATGGCCACAGGTGGCTAGTGACTACTATATAGGACACCACGGATACAGAACATCTCCATTGTCACAGAAAGTTCTACTGGACATGGCAGGCCAGAGCAGCTATGCTGAAGGTGGAAAGAAGTGGTAGGAATTGGCACATATTTTGAAGATGTTAGGATTTAGGATTTGGGTGTGGGGTGGAAAAGAAAGCGAGGAATCAAGGGTGATTTAAGGTTTTTGCCTGAGTACCTAGGTGAACAGTGTATCATTTACCAGATTCTGGTCGTATTAATACAGGGGTATTGAGTAAAAGAGTGACACATTAAAACCTGGTACTGAGTGGTCAATATTTTAAATTCACAATGGGAAGAACAGGTAACAAAGAAGCATGATGCTATTAAGAGAGAAACAAAAGCATACAGAGGAAAATGAGGTGGTGAGGAGTCAGGTTAGTGGGGAACAAAAATCACAGCAATGAGCATTAGAAGACCATATTCCAGCCCTGCTCTCTTGTTCCAGCTCTACCATTATTTAGTTCCTTAAAATGTTCAGTTCTAAGTCTCTTTCCACATCTCTAAGATGGGGATTTTATACTAGATACAGATGATGATGATTGAATTATCACTAAGGTTCCTCTAAGAAAATTCTGAGACGATAAGGTCTGCGTCCTTCGTTGCTACATCAGCCCCAGGTGTGTAATGGTAGAAACTGGAGCGTTTCAGATCTTCTTCCTGTTCAATTTAGCTCAGGGGGGTTTTCCTAGTCTCAGCCCATGTTCCTGAAAGGAGAACAATGACATGAGTGCCCTGAAGTACCCACACTAAGCCCTAATGGAGTCTGGAGTCAACGCTGACCAGATGCAAGAGTTAGAAGGGGTATGAGACCAAACTGAAAAGCAAAGTTCACAGTCATGGTTTGACAACTTTTTGAATTTCCTTTTAGTACTAATATTTCAAATGTTGGCTGATGCACATACTAAAAGAAATGAACTATACAAGGCATTTGTCTAATATGAAGGGCTTAGAATGTGTTTCAGATTTTATGGACATAAACAGAAAATTGCTAAGCATCATAAGAAATTCTACATTCAAAAGAGAGCATGTGATTCTCTGACTCACTCTATGAGCACTTTACATATATTTGTATGCTTATTAACAGATGTAATACTAGTGTATTATTTCAGTTACTAATATGCAATAATAGTATACGTAATACTCCTTTGCTATTCTAACTATATGAAAACAGTATTATTATCTGCATAATCCAGATGAGAAAACTAGGGCAGCAAAGAGAAGTCAAATGACATGAAAAAGGTCATGCACTTAGTAACGAACTATAAATAAGGGTTTGTTTTCATTACTGACCTAGAAAAATGGATCCCAAAGAAAAAAAGAAAACTCCAAGAAGAAAAAAAAATATACTAAAATGTACTCCTTTGAAATACCAACACCTAATGGGAAAGAACTTCCAGGAGAGAATTAAGGAGGACAGCTAATTAGGTTCCTGTGACAGAGATTCTGGGCCACATAGGAAGTAAATGTAATGCACAGACCTGGTAAGCAGCAGATACCCCCTGGAACCTGAGTTAGGTGGGCACAGCAGCAGTCCTGAGTTTCTCAACCTTGGCACTGCTGACATTTTTCCAGATAACTCTTTGTTGTGCGCGACTGTCCTGTGCATTGCCGGATGTTTGGCAGCACCCCTGCCTCCGCCCGGAGGATGCCAGGAGTCCCCACTCACTAGCTGCGACAATGAAAACTTTCTCCAGACGTTGCCAAATGAGTCCTGGGGGTCAAATTGCCCCGTCTGAGAACCACAGCTTTGGAGGTAAGACAAAAGAGGAACTGGAATATACAGAAGCGTATAGAATATACTGACGTGAGAGTGTCTAATGTAAGAAGGGAACCCTCTTCACTCCCGTCAGACTAGGAGAGAACGCAGTGACCCCCAGTTGTCCCACGATCAATCGATCGATCGACAGGAAGAAACAGCAGGAGGCTCTAGTACAAAGTGATGCAACTCACAACACCAGATGGCCTTTAGAAGGGGGCAAACTCCGGGATTACCTGTGGGACTGAGAACTCATTTATGAGGCGAGGACCTCTATGACTACCGAACACTCTGTGGACAACTTGGTGTGGAGAGAAAATAGGGAAGACTAAAAAACATTTTCCAACCGTAGCTTTTAGAATCTTATAATGCATTAATTTCTACCTTATCAAGAGAGTAAAATGCTCACTGGCATTAAATACAATGTTTATACTTGAGGTAATCTGAACATGCTTAAAGTAACTTTTAGACAGGATAAACCTTTTATTTCTGTTCCCATCATTTTGGAAGGATAACTCAGCACCGCGTCTTAGTTTTCTGCTGAGGAAAGAGTATCTCCTGCCCCACTCCAAACTCATACCATCTGGAAAGAATTTACTCCTTGAAGGAGAAACTCCTAAACCAACTTGAGATTCTGGGACACGCCAAAAGTCTCAAAAAGATAGCATCCTTTAGACAAGTCACAAGTCATCACTCTGTACACCCCGTTAGGGAAATTCCCACAGAATGGATTGTTCCCTTACGGTTATATTTCAACTGCTTTAGAAGCAAATACCTGTGGGCATCATCTTTGTTAAATCCTGCCAATAACATACTACTGAAGGAAAGATCGGAAGTCCTAAGAAATCATTTGTGAATGGATGCAGCAATATGCTACAGCTTGCTGATAATTCAAGTGTGGAAAAGCCCATTTAGACTGTCCAGTGTATTCCTGAAGCATGCTGCTGACAAATTCTTTCTTCCCACTTTACTTAAACTTAATAGCACTGTTATGATTCCGGCAATCCACTCAGGAAAACATCTTTCTTGTAGTTTAGCTGTTTTTATTTTAGTCAGATATTTAAAATCACAAGTGATTTTTTTTTTGAAAGGGAAAAAGTAACCCCCAAACCCAGGTGAGTGGTTCGAGTTCCACAAGCCAGCTTTCAGAACTTTAACTGCCATCTGTGTAAATGAGAATGAGAACATTACTTCACACAAAGCAGCAAGGGGTGGTAGAGATGGCTATTTGGGTGGAAGGGGGCAGTGAGAAGGGAAGGGACAATTCAGGCAAAAAGGAAATCAGCCTGCAGAGAGGTATGGAGGGGAGTGCCCCTCCCCCGCTGGGTCGAGGGTTGAGCTATGGGACCCTGGTGGTGTGTGGGTAGGTGCCAAACCGTGCAAGGCTCTCAAGAGGTCCCTCATAAGAGAGATCCATCAAAAGGGCATGTGGAGAGATGTGATC